ATGTTTAAAATGTTTCAGGTACTTCTGGTTCCAAGGGGAAAGACCCAACTTGATAGCATTGCATCTCTCGGAATTTTCCACATTATCTTTTATGATTTATTACTGATGTTTTGAGAATACAATATACCATGATTATCTTTTGGATCAAATGAATGAATGGCTTGGTTGTATAAAAATGAAAATTTTACTTAATTCTTTGGGACGTTACAATAACCAATATAATGTAAAATGATATTAAAAAATATGTTTTTTCATTTGACTTAATATAAATAGGTTTATGAAGTATACTAAATCACATCATATATATATATATATATATATATATATATATATATATATATATATATATATATATATATATATTTGTCTAAGAGCATTGATTATGGGTCAATGTGATAACACCACTTCACATGCCATATCAATAATAACACCACCTTAACACCATATAGAAAATGGTGTTCCTATGTTATAACATGTTATAACATGCTAAGAGGTAGAGAGAGGGAAAGAGATGGATAGAGGGGGGGGGGGGGATAATTTGATTAACCTACTCTCCCGTTTCAAAATGTCATAATGGCCACAATTTGAACCATAACACCAAGGGGGTGTTGATGGTGTTATAACGTCGTTAAGGAATGCCAACTCAGCTATAACGACTTGTAACACGACCCATACCGCATGCTTTAATGTTTTCATTATTTAGATTTGATGCTCACATGTATAAGAAGTTTGTCCCACGTTGGTAAAATAAAAAGGTTGAAATGAATGGCATGCCTATAAAAGAAGCCTAATACTTTCTTTTCAAGGTGTCCCAAGTGTCTCATATAATTAAACTTTATTTTTTATCTTATTATTTTCTTATTTAGAGTCTAAAAAGATGTAAGTTAAATCTTTAGAGATTTGGTATATAGATAGGTGTTTTATTGGGGATTAGTTTATTCTTATAAAAATTGTTATTTTGTTAATGTAATTTTATTCTTTCTAATTTTGAATTCCCAACTTGTTTGACTCTATTTTCCCAATAAATAGTATAACAACTCAAGGTTTAAGGAGGACTCGATCTCTAAAATTCATAATATACTCTATGGTTGGAGCTTTGTATGATCTTCTACATCATAAAATGATTTATGTTGGTCATATGTGAGGATGTTTTGGTTTTTAGAGGCTTTCCATATTTTATGTTTTTTAGTTTTTGGCAACTAATATTTTCCATTCAATATATTTGCTTCATGAGGTACTTATATAAACATACATCATAGGCATGTTTGATCAAATCCTATTAAATAGAAAAAAAAAATGAGCCCTAAACAAACTACACCAACCAAATATCTATGTTATCTACATTTTTCTAGCAAAAAATAAAGAGTTGTTGCAATTTCACCTTAAATTTGAACGGTTTCCTGTATCCCCTTTAAACAATTAGCTAATGAAAAGCATATACATATCTAGATGTTACAACAAAGTAGCATAACCTCATATGTTATATAGACTTCCTATTTCTCCCTTAAGAAACTTACCAAGCACTTTGCTTTGAGAACTTATTTTTGTATTGATTTACTTTGAGATTATATAAGACAATAAAGGAATAGTGGTATAAAGAAAATAGCCAAAAAAAAAAATTCTTGCCAAATATCCAGAGCTCCTAATCTTTGAGTCAACAATTCAATGCATAACTAGTCAAGTAATAAAATTCGTTCTTAGATGGTATGTAGGCCTAATGTGTTTCTATCGAGTCCTCAAGTGAAGTCACTAGTGGCCTTATATGAACCAAAGAAGTGATAAACATCCTAATGGAGTGTATGGAATACAACCAAGCTTTTGTTCTCCTTGGTGAAAATATTCCTTGACCTTTTCTTCATTCTATTTATTTATTTTTGTAACAGCAGCAGAATACATATTAATCAAACAAAAACGTGACTAGAAATAAGCTAGAAACATAACAAGTTAAGGAAGGATTGAGTTCTTCATCCACTCAACCCAATTAATCCTAGCCTTGGAATTACGAAAAGTAAACCAACGGAAAGAGGTTTCAACAATAGAATCTAACAACAGTTGCTTTCTAGGTTTTGAAGAATAGAAAAGAAATGCATCCTGATAGGTCTATACGACCCAAATAACCACCATGCAAACTGATTCAATAATAATCCTCTCCATTCTCGCATTAGATCTCACATCCACCTAATCTATCATCGAAGAGAAGCTAGGAATATCCACATCAAGCCAACTAGCTATGCACCTCCAAACTTGAATCACCGCTGAACACTTACGAAAAACACGATTAGCATCTTCTTGAAAGTCTTGACAAATCAGGGAAAAGAGTAGTATCTAGATAAACCCCTCTTTAAACCAGCTTAGACCTGACCAGTATACGATCAAGCAGAACACACCAAAAAAACACATTAATCTTGATAGGAACATAGCGATTCCACCTAGTAGCATGCAAAGCGGAAAGGAGTCTCTCCTCGTCAATCCTCCTTCTAATATACGTAAACATGAAAAGGCCCGAAGGATCCATCAACCAAACCCATTTGTCGTGAGTGGTTCGCAAACACACATTCTCGAAAGTAAACCATCCAATTGTTGTATCTCAACTCCACCTTTAATTGTGCGACACCAAGAAAAACTCCAAGCATTAGAACACCATAATTCACTAATAAACACATCTTTACTTGTAGACAAAGCAAATAATCTAGGAAATTTCACCTTGAATGGAATTCCAGAATACCACACATCCGTCCAAAATCTAGTATGTGTACCATTACCAACAACCCTCGACATATCATTGCTAGGAATGAGATCCTCTCATGAAGTTGATTGATATATCCAACAATTTTTTTTGCCAAAACCCCCTCCTTAAATAGGATTAGACCCTTCTAAGAACCAACCACCTTCACCATAGATTAACTTAATAATTTTCATCCATATCGCTTGAGAGTCGTTAAAAAATCTCCATTTCCATTTATACAACAAAGCCAAATTAAAAAAATTTCACCCAACAAAATCTTCATTGTATTTATTAGTTTTGGAAGATTTTTTTTTATTTTTCATTTCTATAAACCGTAATTTTCTCTAACGATACTTAAACGTATAATTAGCCTTCCATTAAAACCTATAGACAATATAAATTCTACCCAAACTCTCATAAATATTATCCTCTAAAAAGAAGGATCATATAAACACAGTGTTAAGTTATTTTCACAAGTAACCAATAACAAAAAGTCATCGTTACTTGACCCGTCAAAAAAATAAACTTTCATCCCCAATAGTTTTCTAATCCATATATCTCTATGTTGGCTTTTTCGGTGCAAAAATGATGATTTTAACCTTTACATTTTATTTCTTCTTAGACTTATCCTTAAGAAATGCAAATTGATTCTTACATTTGTTAATTGTTTTCACTGATACTACAACTCTTGTCACCCGACTCTTTCCTTTGGGGAACTATTCAAAATCTGAACTAGAGATGATTCATAGACCGCAGTCTTAACATATTTATACTGGTTTGCTATCGCCTATCAATATGCTATATTCAACAATTTGGTTTGGTCGGGCTCAATGAGCCACGAAACCCCCATTTTCATCATGGGTACTAAGCATGGATGAAACTGATGTTTCCTATTTTCAAGAAAAGAATCAAATGCTTTAGCCAAATCAGGATTCTATTCAAAAAAGATATTTTTGTTGCATTCATAATTTTTCACGGACTACCTGATGTCGATGTACTTGCGGCCATCACCTCGCACCCATAGTTCAAGCTAATGGATGACAAGTGACAAAGGAAGGTGGTGATCATGATTCAGTTGTGATCTAGAAACAAGAACTAAGGTATGCAAGTATGGTCAAATCAATAAAATTCAAGCAGTGTCTAAATACAAACAAATTAACGATCTTAATAATATAGAGAGTGTATAGATAAACTTAGTAAAAAAACTTTTATTATAAAACAATAATATTAGAATTAGCTAATAATGCAAAATCAATGACATGAGACAAACGCATAGATGAGTTTACTTCTAAAAAGAATTTAAATTAGTATCTTTAAAACACAAAATACATATAAAATAAAAAAACACAAGCTTATATAAAAAAATGAATAAATAAAGTTACTAAATAAAATGATTTCAAACCTGTAGAAAAATAGGGATGATGAGTTGTGGCATAAAGCTTATCTGTTCCTATGGTATAATAATAACCCATTCCCATGACATAGTAAATAGTAATGATACAAAGAGTTGGATTGCAGATTACTTCGATATAAAGAGATAAAGAGCAAAAGTTTAAAAAGTTAGTGAAATTGTGAGGTTCTTAGAGCAGCTGCTGGAGATAGCTATTGAAGTAGTTTGACTATGTGACAGCCGACACTACAAATGGCTAGAGAAAGAGAAGGAGAGTTGAGTAAGGTATTCATTATTATTTTTTTACATATTTTTTCATATAAACATTTAACATATCTAGTGAAAATTTAAGACTATGTAATTTCATATTTTTTTATATATATTATAGGTCGGTCATTTTCATGATTACAAATAGATCAAGATTATTTAAATATTGTTTAATGGTTTAAAGTGTTCAATATTTGAAGACCTTTAATCCCAATAATTCTTTAAAATTTTCCAACATCGTCTAACAAAATGCATTTCTCAAAATCAAAGAATCTTAATATGGATTATGTATTCAATATTTAATTTTATATATATTTCAGATGAGTATTGATTATACAAATAAATCTATATCATATTTATTTCTTTATATAAATTAATAACTAAACCAAATTACTTGATTACTAAATTTTCAACTTAACCAAAAGTTAATGTTAAAATAAACAATACATCATAAATCAAACATCACAAAACAAAAAACATCCGAACACATTATATATAGCATGCAAGTGCATTATTTCGAAAATCCAAACCCCAATGACCCAGCCTGCACAAAATCTTGCATTGTTCTATGTTTCTGGTATATCATCATAATCATCATAGACCTTCATTCTTTCTCTATTAAGCATCAACGGCTTCAAGTACATAATCCCCCGTCACAAACTCACGACCTAATATCATTACAACAATATCAAAATGTCAATTTCCTTGGATGGAATGGAATGACATTGACATGGCAAAGGAATAACCAAGGTAATGGAGTGAGTCATCAAAATCAATGACCATGTTTAGTTCAATTTAGAAATGGAAAGAATTTTATTATGTATTTTCTATAATGTATGTGGATACAATAGTAAATTATATTTTTGTCCTTGTTTTTTTTTTTTTATTATTATTTTAATTTTTGGTCGCAAACAATTTTCTCTTGCATATTTAATCCTTATATGAGGTTGTTGTAACATTTTTATCTGAATTCCAAGTAAAACGACTATTTTCATTGTTGGATTTTGCAATTTTGGTTCAAAAAATATAATCATTTTACATAGAACAGGAACCAAAAACATTATAAAAACCTAGAGACATGATCAAATCTGCAAGAGAAAACATTTTTGGACCAAAATTAAAAGAATCAACTACACTTGGTGACCAAAAATGTAATTTCCTCTAAATACAATGCATCATGTTAACTGTATTGTTACAAAAAAAAATTTAAAAAGAAAAAAGAAAAAAACTCATTAAAACCATAATAAGATTTAATAAAAAAAAAATTAAATGCTTTCTAGTTATTTTTCAAAACTAAAACTGTTTTAGTATTAAAATCACGAATCTTTATAAAAACAAAATCGACATTTTTACAAGTTATATAAACAAGAATGTGATGCAATGCAAATTTTCATTTCATTGCATGTTGGAATAAAACAAATGGCCCAAATTTGATGGAATCACATTTCATCAAGAATGTTCCATTCACTCCATTGGAAAAAAGCAAACAACTTTTTTCATTCAAATGGAATGACCGCTCCACTCCCTCCCAAATTCCATCAACCAAATACTATCAAATCAAAATCATTTTTGTTAATTTAGATCGAACCTTTTCTAGCAGCAAGAAGAGCAAACTCCCATGCTATATTTTCAAGATCGACCCCTGCTAGCCTGTTGGTAAGATATGCAAAAATCTCACTAATGGCTTCCTTATTGTCTTCCATGGGGGGCATATATTATGTAAAGGACAAAAATATCTTTTTGCCCCTTCTTGTCCGAAACATCCACCTGGATTTCCAGGAGAAACGACCAAGGATGAGGACATTTACGTATTTTTGCATTGAAAAGAGATCGCGACTTGTGGGTCTCTCTCCCACATTTTTGGGTGGGACATTGACTTCAATCTCAATGTCAATCCAAGTTCAATGCAATTTGTTTTTTGGGTTTTGAATAACAATAACGGCAACATACTTTATTAAAGTGTTTTACATATAATGGAAACGTACTTACATATTTACCCATAATAGCAACATACTTATATTTCTTCTAGATAAATAACAATATGTGACCTATAATATAATAGCAATGTACTTGCATTTTTTTTCTTTGTACAGAATATTAACATACTTGCAATGGTCACCTATAATAGCAATTTACTTACATATTTTACTTTAAAAAAAAATACATTATCAACATTTCTAGTGAAAAAAGTACCTTCATCTTGAAGGCCACTTTCATCTTCACTAACAACTAGATTCATTTCATCATCCCACCATCCCTCCAAACCATTCCCATCATGATCAACATAAAGTGAAATTTTCCTATTATCATACCTGATATCTATAAATTGGGTATAATCCAACTCATCTACTATGAAACGAATCCCTTTAGATAAAGGAATGTTAGGTATATAGTAGTAGAGGTTTTGAAACTCTTGCCCATCGGCTCTTTCAAGAAAACCAAAACATTCCTTTACTTCCATACTTGCTCAATCAACGTCAGTAAAGAGGAAATGATTCCCACCAAAAATATGCACAAGGATGTCGCATGAATACACCATTGTAGTGTAGATGAACTCTCAAATAGGTTCGTTATCGTTCTCCGCCATGAAAAAGTAAAACAAAAATTAAAGAGCAAAATACCTTAGAAAGCAGCTGTGTATCTCAACAGTGGCTACGATATTTACAAGCCATAGTTCTAGCTCATCATTCGTCTACTTATACGACATACACCCCAGGTAAGAAAAATGCCTTTAAACATTCCTCTGTATTTACACTTTGGCATTACACGCGTGGCTTGATTTAGAGTTGACTAAGGGTGTGCTCAGCACACAACGTTTGGGAGCTTCTGGCTTCTAGCTTTTAAGAAAATGCTAGTAAAAAAGAAAAAGTATCGTTCCGCGACAAAAGCGTTTAGCTTTTAGCTAAACAAAACGCTCCAAAATCAAAAGCTACATGGAGTAGCTTTCAACAAAACGCTCCAATATCAAACATTACCCGATAACCGCTAACCGATACCCTCTACTAGCTAGTTTCACCGAATACGCTCTAAGTCAAAGGCCACATCACCTGTTTCACCGGCTAACTTGTTTGAAGGGTCAATAATGGCAAGGGTGACAGACAAATTTCGATTTTGGGGGTACATAAAAGCAAAAAAAACAATAATGGTCTTTTAAAACCTTATGTAAAACGTTGACAAAAACCTTAATATAAGTTTTCTTAAATCCAACAAAAATCAAACATGAGATGTATGTGGTCGTATAATTCGTTTTTCTTTATAGCGTTATAACATACTACTTTTTTTGTTCATATTGTTATATGGTATGTTTTCTAAAATATGAGGTTCTATGAAAGTCGTCTTTATGCGAGTTTTATTGGCTGACATATGACATATTCCATTGGACTTTATACTCTAAATGTCATATTTCGAAACTAACTAGACCGTTGCGATGATTGAGTTCAACAAAAAGTTTTTTGTAAATTATTTTAATACAAAGTATTACCAAAATACAGAATTCTACCAATTTCTCATACGTTTTAACAAATTAATTTTCAATTTCTTACATATTTGTTTTCATACATGAATGTAGGGTTCTAAAAACATTATAAAATCTATTTTTTATATATATATTTGTTTTTCATAAATTAAATATACACGTCTATACATAATTAAGCATAATCCTACTATATAGTTATTTTTCTCCTAATTGTATACACAATTTTTCTATATCATCACATGAAAGTGTTAACCTAGATGTCTACAAAAAGCAATTCATTATATAAATCAATAACCAAACCAAATTACTTAATTGAAAAATTTTCAACTTAATAATATTAAAAATGAACAATACATTCACATTCATAAATCAAACATCAAAAATTAAAAAACCTAACAAATCAAACATCCAAAAACAAAAAACCTCCAAACACATCATATGTATATATACCATTAATTCGAATATCCAAACCCTAATGAGCCACCTTGCATAAAATCTCGCATTGTTGGTCCTTTGGTTTTGTGTACATCATCATACACCTTTGTTCGAGCTCTATCAACCGCTTCAAGTACATCATCCTCCGTCACATACTCACCACCTGATACATGCATACAATAATAAATTACAATTTTGGTCCCCCAAGTATAGCTGATTTTTACAATTTTGGTCCTAAACAGGTTTCTCTTGCATATTTGATCCCTGTTCCAACTCCTCAAGTAACTTTTACTAATTTTATTGCTGATTTTTGCAACTTTGGTCCCAAAAAACAATCATTTTACTTGAAACAGGGACAAAAAACATTACACAAACCTAACTTTTTGGGACCAAATTTGAGAGAATTAGCTACAACTCAGGGACCAAAAATGTAAATATTCTCTCAATACAATGAATCATTTTTGTTAATTTAGATTTTAGATCGAACCTTTTCTAGCAGCAAGAAGAACAGCTTCCCTTGCTATATTTTCAAGATCAGCCCCTACTAACCCATTGGTGAGAGATGCAACAAGCTCACTAATGGCTTCCTTATCGTCTTCCATGGGGACATCTTTTATGTAAAGGGCAAATATGTCTTTTCGCCCCTTCTCATCCGGGGCATCCACCCGGACCTTTCGGGAGAAACGACCCGGTCTCATTAAAGCTGAATCCAATGTTTCCGGGCGGTTTGTGGCGGCTATCACCACCACGTTTGACTCTTTCTCAAATCCATCCATTTCAATCAGAAGCTATAACACAAATAAACCGAGGGCATTTACGTCTTTTTGCAATGACAAGAGATCAACTCCATGTGTGTTATTTTGCGTTTTGACAACAAATACTTTATTTTTCTTTACATATAATGGAAACATACTTACATATTTTAGCCAATAAAAATAAGGGTTAATCTCGTAAAAGACCTTATATTTTTGTGTTTTTTCCGGATTAAACCTCAATTTTATAATTTGCCTGAAAAAGACCTTGTATTTTTTCATTTTTTCCAAAAAAACCCTCAACCTTCTAAATGTTTCCAAATAAACCCTCAACCTTCTAAATGTTTATAAATAAACCCTCAACTTTTGTAGTTTTTCTTGAAAAAAAACCCTCACATTTTACAATTTGTTTTGGAAAAAAATGACTAAAAGGGCTGGATCGAAAAAAATAAAAAATATAAGATCTTTTCCAGACAAAAAACAAATTTGAGGTTTAATCCGGAAAAAACACAATATAAGGTTTTTTACGAGATTAACCCTAAATATAATAGCAACGTACTTATATTTTCTTTACACATAATAGCAATGTACTTTACATATTATAACAATATATGTAGCAAAAAAAAAGTGCAATATCCATATTTTATATTTATAGTGAAATTTAAGTAGGTTGCTATTATGGGTTACATATTTCTATAACCAATAAAAGAAGTACAAGTATGTTAAATTTAATAGAAATTTTTTTTTTGAAGGAAGAGAATAATTATTACCTGATTTAGTGTTTGGTCACGTTCACAATTCAAAGTTGACCCACGTTGACCACCAACAGCATCTATCTCATCAATGAAAATAATGGAAGGTGAATTCTTTCTTGCTTCACGAAAAAGATCTCTAACATGTGCAGCTCCTCTACCAACAAAAACCTCCACCAATTCACTTGCAGAAATCGAAAAAAACGCCACGTCAGCTTCTCCAGCCACAGCACGTGCCAACAATGTCTTCCCTGTCCCTGGTGGGCCCGTTAACAGAACCCCTTTTGGTAGCTTTGCACCAAGTTTCATGTATTTGTTGTCCCCTTTCATGCACAAGATAATCTACAAAAGTAGGTGAGTATTTTCAATAAGCGATAACTCTGTTTCATGAACCCTAAAAGGAACAGAAGTATAATGTATAAGTGTGTTATCATTATCACCTCTAGAAGTTCTGCTTTGGCAGCATCAACACCTTTAACATCATCAAATGTTACAGACTGTTTTGTACTTGGTTTTCTCTTTATTATTTTCCCAAGATCATGTTGAGCATTGAGCTGATAAAAGCTAAGCAACACCATGAGCCAAAACGGGGTTACTTGAAAGAAGACAAACAAGAAATTCTTCATTGATTGAGAGAGAAGTGCACGGTTTGATCCATATGTGATCCCCTTTTCCTTTAGGGTCTTGAGAAGTTCATATTTATCGTCTTCAACGTTTCTTGTAAGATAATGCCATTTGGGTAAAATTGTTTTAGTAGGTTTTTCTTGTAAATCGGTTTGTGGAGACTCGATATTTGGATCATGTAAAGATTTTTTGTTGAAGTATATTTGTCTGGAATTCTCTTCAAACTGAACGCGTATCACACTTCCATCTTGTATGCCACAAATCAAATCAGAATATGGAACATCCATGTAGTGGGAAGGACGCATAAGGCTTGGAAGCTTCATAGAACACATCCCCAAAAAGACACAAAAGGAAGTTCCAACTACAATTGCATAAACCTTATTCCCAAATCTCCTTGGATTTCCATCAGTATTCCTTCTTTTTGATTGTTTCTCTGCAAAGAAAACAAATAGAGTTACAATAAAGTTGATTAATCAACCACACTGAGACCAAATCTACAGGTGTGAAGAAGAAGCAAAAGTTTATGGAAATGGAGATGAATTCAAAGGATATTCAAATTTTGTTACCTTCTGTATCTGCTACTGCATCAGTTCTAGTCCCATGGCATTTAAACTTCACATTCACGATCAAAGTCAGAGATGAAGTTATACAAACAAATCGCAGAATCAAATTGTTAAAAGTATTACAGAAATCACAATGAGAAACTGTAATCCACAAACCTGATTCAAATCGTTCCAGAACAATAACGAATTGGAAATAAAGCAGTCGCTCTCGCTCTTCATGTTGCCGCCAAAACCTGAATTTCCCTGACGGAATAAAATATACACACACAATCGGTACAAAACTGAAAGGGAGAATTGTGCGAAATAAAATTGAAGAACTTGAAGAACTAAACGAATGAAATCAATTACAGATCATTAACCTTAACGAATGCAGAGTTCGGTTTAACAGCATGTCTCAGAGGAAGCGTGAAGGACAAGGCTGGTGTCAGTGGTGTGGTATAGTACCTTTTAGGTCGAGAACTGAACTGTTTTGGCGTAAGGATCATCGATGAGGTATTCGTGACAAGATTCGCCATAGCCATGGGTTCTCCGGTGATCGATAAGAATTTTACGCCCGAAAAAGAAGGTGCAACTGCGTTGTTAATATCCGATCGTCTTCAAGAATATAAAAACAATTCTACTGCATTTGAGGCTAGTTTGCGAAGAAGAGAGTTGGCGGATTCCACAACCAACGCCGGAGAAGTTTCCAGAGAAACGGCGAATTCCCGTTGATGAGGAGGTGCCGCGTTGGGTTTTGGGGTTTAGCTCTTAAAAGAAAATCATTAGAGAAAAAACGAAACAAAGTTGATTTAGGGTGGTTATTAATATTTGGACTATATTACATCTTTGGTCCCTAAGCTTTTGTCAATATAACATCTTTT